CCTCAGCCTCCTAGGTGCTAGGTTATGGGCATGCACACCACACCAGACACAGAATAATTGCTGTCAGTGGTTTGCCCTTCCTTCGGGGCCACCACCATGTAGACTCAGCTCCTCCATGTCAGCCTAGCTCATGTCCTGTGTCGCCACTTCAAGAGCCCAATCTAGGGCCTCAATGTGCCGACTCCAGTCACCTTCGGATGTCGCACAAGCTTCTTCGGTGAGCAGCAACACTTCCCACTTTGCTTTCCCCTTGGACTCTCAGAAGGATTTCCAAAGGGCAGAACGCCACGGAGGGTCCCCAGAGCCTGCTTTTCTTTCCCCCGTGCTGGGAACCGAATCCATGGTCTTCTTATTAAACCACATCTTTCATTTTTAAATTTTTTAAAATTTTGAGACAGGGTCTCTTACTTTCTTGTCACTGAGACACAACACCTGACATTCAGCACTGAAGGGAGAAATTTGTCAGGTGTGGTGGCAGAAGCCTGCAATCCCAGGCAGACTGAGGTAGGAGCATCACTGTGAGTCGTAAGCCAGCCGAGGCTACATAGTTCGACACTGTCTATAAAAGAAAAAGGAGGAGGAGGAGGAGGAGGAGGAGGAGGAGGAGGAGGAAGGAAGAAGGAGAAAGTGGTTTATTTTAGCTCACAGTTTGTAGAGGTTTCAGTGTGTAGTCCACTGGCTCCAAGGCAGGGTGGCGTGCAGAGGGTAGGGGTGGAATGGGGTGGGGATCACAGCAGTAGGAAGCAGAGTGAAAGGAGCAACTGGGGAAGTGGAGCTTTCCAGCCCATGTCCCCAGTGACCACCCTGCAACAGCAGGTGAGCTGTGAGGCCCATAACCCAGTCATCTCCCCAAAGCTCCACCTATGATCACAAGAGGTTTTCTGGGGACATCTAGATGGAACCCACAACAGTCTCTAGGTTGCTAAATTGCCCAGTATGGGCTTGAACTTACCATCCTCCAACCTCAGCCTCCCATAATACGGGATTACTAGCATACCCACCACACGGGGTTCATGTGATATGGTAATCTTTTCCTGTGTTTGCTCGTTTTTTGGAACCAAGGATTAAACCCAGGTGCTCTGCCACTGAGCTACCACCACAGCTTGTTTTAGTTGTTTTTTTGTTTTGAGACAAAACTTTTCATTTTGAGACATGATCTTACTAAATTACCCAGATTAATTTTTGTGGTGGGTTAACTAAGGGTCAACTTGTAACACCCAGCTGAACTGAGTCAGTGCGGTGCTAGGTGTGGAAGGCCCACTTGAGGATTGTTGCCAGCAGCATAAAAGAATTGGAGAAGAAGATGGTGTGCTGTTGATCCTCCTGGAGAAACTTGTCACACTGCTTTCCTGACATGAACTTGGCTGTTATCATGGGAGGAGCTTGGGTCCTTGCTGTCACTGAAGATGGCTGTGGTTCTTTTGGTTCCTTATCTTGAGTGTCGCTTCCTGGCTCCAGTGCAGACCCCTCAGACTGCTAGCATGGATCCTTCATCCCTCTGGTACAGACTTTCTAGCTTCCACCACTGCCCTTTGGGCCTTCCCAAGCAGACCCTTGGTACAGACTTGCATGAGATATTGTTGTGGGCTCTAGGCCTCCAGCTGGACTCGTGGAAGACACTGCCGTGGGCTCTAGGTCTTCAGATGAACTTGTGCAGGACACTGCTGTGGGATCCAGGCTCTCAGCTTGATTCTTTGGGTCTCTAGTGTGTGGACAGATCTCTCACGTTCTTTTGCATTTGACTTTTTGGGTGGCTACTATAAATTAATCCTATAAGTTATGTGTCTTTTTTTGGGTCTTTTTGAGACAGGGTCTCGCTATGCAGTTCAGGCTGGCCTTGAGCTCACTTTGTAGCCCAGGCTGGTCTCAAACTTGCAACAATTCTCTTGCCTCAGCCTCCCAAGTGCTGGGATTACAGGCATGCCTGGCAAGTTATGTGTCCTGTATTAAATTGTTTCCCTTGCAAACCCTGACTACAACATACAAATAATGATATATTTATAAATAAAATTTAAAAATGGCTAGGTGTGCCTGGTATGCATGCCTGAAATCATAGAATTCTGGGAGGCTGAAGCAGGAGGACCACATATTGGAGCCCTGCCTGAAAAGTTCATTGATTTAGTGAAACCCAGTCTCACAGTGATTCTCCTGCCTCAGCCTCCAAAGTGTTGGGATTACAGGTGAGCACCACCTTGCCCAGCTGTTATTCTTTAAACTACATATAGACACACACACACATATTTTTTAGTTCTTTCATTGTTTAAAGTTTGTAAAGATTGAATTTAAAGATCTGGGCAATCCCCACACCTATGTCATAGGGCTTAGGGTCAGAGTTGTCCTTTAGAAACTTGATGAGACTGTGGTAAGAAGCTGGGCAGAGGTGCAACCCAAATGCGTAATTAGGGCTGCAGGACCCAGGCAGCACACTCACAAGGCTGGCAAGTGGGTGCTGTCTTTTGGCAGAGACTTTCATTCTCTGGACCTTTGCACACAGTTGTTTGCGCAGAGGGTGAGGTGCCTGGCTTCCCCAGTGCACACAGTTGAAGACAACACTGTGGCAAGCTGCCATCTGTGCCTACGTGTCTTGGGCATGAGACATGTTGTATTCCAGTGGTCAGAGTACCTCTAGGTTAGTTGGATGGTGCAGATGATCACCGAAGCTGGGCGCGGTGGCGCATGCCTGTAATTCCAGCACTGGAGGCTGAGATAGAAGGACCATTGTGAGTTCTAGACCCACCTGGGCAACAAAGTGGGCTTAGGGCTGGCCTGAACTGTATAAGGAGACCCTGTCTCTAAACAAAACAAAACAAAACAAGTAAGATGATCACCGAGAGTCATCTCAGAGGTTAGCTCCTGAGGACTTTGATTTCCTCCTTGATTTTTTTTCTTTTTTTGGTGTCTTTTTGAGACAGGGTCTCGCTATGCAGTTCAGGCTGGCCTTGAGCTCACTTGGTAGCCCAGGCTGGTCTTGAACTTGCAATGCAATGATCCTCCTGCCTCAGTCTCCGGAGTACTGGGATTACAGGTGTGTGCCACCATGCGCGGCATTCCTCCTTGATATCCTTGTTCACTTTGGTTTTTAAAAAAAATTTTATATTTTACTGTTGCTCACTTTTTTTTTTTTTTTGTCTTTTTGAGACTGGGTTTCACTCTGCAGTTCAGGCTGGCCTCCATGTTGTTCACTCTGCAAAGTACTGGGAATTTTGTCACAACCAGTACAATTCTACTTCCGTTTAAACACAGGTGTGGTTTTTTTCACAGCTGTGTTGCTAAATACATATGTGCACATAGATGCATCCAAGCATACAAGATTTTCTGTTTAAAAGTTCCACAAACTAAAGACCCTCTGCTACAGACAGGGTCAGCGTATGAACTTCCTGGACACTGCATTCCACTTCAAACTGAATTCAAGTCCAAGATTGCACAGTAAGCGCCAACGAGCTTGATTTGTGCCGACCTGTAATCACTGGCACTTAGGATACACTTTTAAGTTTTACCAGAAATCTTTAATTTTCTAGAAACTTTCACCTGCGTTCAACATCCACTTTAATTAAACATTTTCGCAGATTTGCAATTTGCTGAAGGCGACTCAGCTAGCAGAGGGGCAATTAGCCAACTAGCTAAGGTATAAGTCAGTATAGGTGAAAAGATCAAGTTTTACAGCTTTCACTTCTGCAAGAAAGGCCTAGAGGCGCCTCTGTGAAACCTCTGGGACTGACACTTTCAGCGCCGGGCCCAAGGGTGGGGTTGGGGGGGCATGCCGCAGGGCCTCCCCGCACTGCTTATCTGGTTCGGAACTTCTGGGCTAAAGAGTAACTGGCACTGGTTGCATTTTATTTAGTCATTCACAGACTTAACATATAGCAATCCTAAATTTTGCCAAGGTGGGCCATTCCATGAAAAATTCCCTTAGGGTGTGAGTAGGAACCACCAATTTAAGTCTAAAAAAATGAAGTTAATTCAGAAATAGCATTCTTACTGTAAAAGCCTCAAACCAAGGCGTGGGCCGGCTAACAACAGTGTCCCTTACCACGGCTACCTGGTCAGCAGGTCACTCTTGGACACACATTCCCTTTATTTTTTCCAGTACCGGGAATCAAACTCAGGACCTTGAGCTTGCCAGGCAGGTGCTTGTGCCGATGAGCTATATCCCCAGCCCCACACACATTCTTTTTAAAAAGTCCACATCGAACTTAATCTTGGTCAGTTTTCCAGTGCAAGACGTCAGGAACAATAAAGGGGACCCACGACTCTACACCGGACATACTTTTGTAATCTTCGAAGTTCAAGCAGCGCGTGGTGGCGCACGCCAGTAATCCCAGCACTCGGGAGGCTGAGGCAGGAGGATTGTTGTGAGTTCGAGACCAACCTGGGCTACAAAGTGAACTCAAGGCCAGCCTGAACTGCACAGGGAGACCCTGTCTTAAAAAGACAAAAAAAAAAAAAGGGGGGCTGGGGATTTAGCTCAGTGGCAAAGGGCCTGCCTGGCAAGCGCAAGGTCATGAGTTCGGTTCCCGGTACCGGAGAAAAACCAAAAACAAAACAAAACAAAACAAAACAAAAAAACCCCAAAACTTCAAAAAGAACCGAAGTCCAAATTTGATCTGAGCCTCCGTGCTCCATCAACGCCGCACCATCTACACAGGCGTGTATGCAGTCTCAGCAGTTTGTGCCCCCCTCTACCCGGGAGCTTTTATTTTCTATTTTTGGTATTGGAGACTGAATCAAGTCAACATCCTCAGCGCTTTTAAAATTTTTTATGCTGAGACAGAGTCGAGTTAAATCGCAAATCGCCAGGCTGAGTTCGAATCTGCAATCCCGTCTCAGCCCCCCACAGGGCTGGGAATTACAGGCCTGCACCCCATGCCGGCTGCCACCCTCACCGCCACGGCCGAGGGAAACCACCGGCTCAGCAATGGGAAACACTCATTGAGACGACAGCGTCCACTGAACGCGACACAGAGCCGACGCGGGACAACTTAACAAACGCGGAGCCTCACCCCGCTTCCTCCACGGTCCGCCGCCACACCCCCGCCAGCCGGAACTGTCGCCCCCTCACCGCGCCCAACGCACGGTGTGACGGTGTGACGTAGCGCCCGACGCGGCTCGCGCGCGCCCCGCCCCGCCCCACCCTGCCCGGACTCCCTGGGCAGAAGCGCGCGGCGCGCATGCTCGGGAGGCGGGGCAGCCGGGGTCTCCAGGCGCTGCAATCTGTTGCGCCGCCGCCCGCGGGAGCCGGCAGATCCGGGTCTCGTGGTTAACAGTGACGTGTCAACCGAATCCAAACAGAGCTGGGGGAGGAGGCCGGCAGCCGGGAACGGCAGCGGCAACGGCAACGGCAGCGGCAGCGGCGTCCGGAGCAGCCGCAGCGTTCTGGAAGCCCCCGGCGTCTTTCTGCCGAGAGAGGGGCCCGGCCCTCACCCTCCCCGCCCCGTGGGTTGTTGTCTGGGCGGGTGAGTGTCTTCCCCTCTCCCTTCGCCGCTCGCCGGCCCACCTTGCCTTCGCCCGGCTGTTCCCGGGTTCCCTCCGGCGGCCGGGGACTGCGGCAGAGCGGGCTGCTCCGGTCGCGGGGCTGGCGGCTCCGGAGCGGAGCGAGGCTGGCAGCCCGCAGCCGAGCCCTCTGTGCGGGCGCCGGGGCTGGGCTGCAAAGTGAGCGCGAGCCACGGGAGGTTTTATTTTTAGGGCCACATCGTCCGCACGGGCGGAGGCGTGTGATGGAATAGAAGTCGCAGCTGGAAAGGAGAAACTCCACAGCCCTGCGATGTAGGCGCTGTCTCGTCTCCCCGTCTGTCTCGGCCCTTCCTGGGGCTGGTGAAGTCACAGGGATGCGTCCTTTGTTGTGATTGATGATACGGGAAACCTGCCATCCTGAAAGCGAGAGCTTTTCAGCCCGCTTGGGTTGCGATGTAAAGGATTCCCTTTTTCCGCTGATGATGGTCAGGAGGTAGCAGCGCCCTTTATTGGAGGACTGAAAGTCTGGTGTTGTTGCTGAAAGCCAAAGTTTTCCGAATTGGCGCTATAAGAATGTTAGGATTTTAGCCAAGGTCGTATTTGTCAGCCATGGAGAATCGGTAGGATGTTTCCAGTTGCCCCGGTTGGCAAAGTCGAGGATGTGGCCTTAATAAAAGAATGTCATACTGTTGGCGTCAGGAGAGTCGGGTGAGCTTCACGCACTGGCCCCTTTGTGGGGGAGACATTCCGTGGAGGGGTCGCGTTGACGAAACCCTTGCCAGCTGTCCATGCACTAATTTGGAAACCCATTGGGAAGCAAGGCTGCTTCCAAGCATTTTAGTCTTGAGACCCTGCGTGGCGTTCGCGCTGCCCAGGACCGTGGCGCTGGCCTGGGGTCTCCTCCGCTCGAGGTGATGGCCCCTGCGGGTGCCTTTAGTATAGCCTTTGTCCAGCCCCCATCCCTCCACGCTAGAGAGACCAGAAAACCAAACTTGCTTGGCCTCCTTTTTAAAAATATTTCCTCCCTCAGAACGCAGTTGAAGTGTTCCTGTGATAACCTGCAAGAAAGAACAGAAATACTCGTTCGCCCTCTCAAATCCTGGAAGAATTCTTAGGCATTGCTATTACTGTACTTCCTTGAAGGGTATGCCCTTGTTGTGGTAGGACGTGGACCTCTTAGATCTTTCTATACCACTGAGATTTAATTTTTCTTTTATCAGGGTGGGAATTCTAATGTAGATGAAGGAAATTTTCTTTTCATATTTTGGGGGTTGTAAGGTTTTTTCTTTTTTTCCATCTTTTGGTCCTTTTTATTGTTAGGAAATTACTTTCAAGTTCCTCTTTTTTAGATTTTTACTTTCATGCTAACCTGGGATTAAATATTTTTAAAATATTTTTTCTTATTTGAAATGCTTTTTTTTTTTTTTTTTTTTGAGGCAGGGTCTCGCTGTGTAGTCCAGGCTGGCCTGAACTCACTGTGTAGCCAGTGGTAGCCTTGAAGCCCAGCGGTGATTCGCCTGCCTCAGCCTCTCCAGTGCTGGGATTATAGGCATGTGCCACCATTCCCAGCTCTGGACTTTAACTTTTAGAGACTATTCACTGTGTTGGAAAATCATAATTACTAAAATCAAGGGTTTGAAAGTTTTCTCCCAGATCTCTGGGGTGATGTTGTTAGCTTGCTTAACTTTTGGGAGAACTGGTACAGCCCAAGTTGATGTTATGGAAATTCAAAGTTTTGCTTATTTAGTGGTTTTATTCAGGTTGTTTAGTCATACTGTGCATTTTAGGACTCCACCAGTAAGGTCCTGCTAGATTTTAATTCACATATTACAGTTAATTCACTTTATTAACATTGTCTTAGGTATGTACCCATGTAATCCTGTTTTTGTTTTTGTCTTTTTTTGAGATAGGGTCTCACTACGCAGTTTAGGCTGGTCTTGAACTCACTTTGTAGTCCAGGCTGCCTCCTGCCTCAGCCTCCTGAGTGCTGGGATTACAGGCATGTGCCACCATGCCCGGCTGTAATCCTTTTTTTTACCATTGGCACAGAAAGAGCTTACTATGGAAGGAAATGTCCTTTTCACTTCAGTTTCAAAGAATAAGTGCTGTGAAGTATTTTAAATCTGCTAACAACCCATTTAGGGTTGGTTTTTCATAAATTTACCAAAAAAATCTCATTCTTCCTTTTTTTTTGAGACAGCCTCTCACTATGTAGTTCAGGCTGGCTTTTGAATCATTATGTAGCCCATGGTGGCCTCAAACTTTTGATGATTTTCCTGCCTCAGCCTCCCAAGTGCTGAGATTAGAGGCATACACTACCATAACCAACCAGCAAATCTCATTCTTAATATTTGTTATGTAACTAGGTCCTTTTTCTTTGATTTTCCTCAAAGTGTTCAGTGTGTATTACTTCTTCCTGTCTCTGCTGCCACCGTCTCTCCTGATTTACTCCAGCAGATGCCTGGTATCCCTGCTTCCACTTTGGCTTTTTTAGGGTGCATTCTTACCACAGCCTAAAAGATGATTAGAAATTAAGTTTGTGCCATCCCCATTCAGCATGGAAAACAAACTCCCAAGGCAGGCTACACGTTTTGGCTTTGCCTTCCTCTCTTACTTTTCTCATATCCCTCTACCTAGTTCGTTACCCAGGAGCTTGGCCACAGCAGTGGCTTCCATGTTTCAGCTCCGTTAGCACTGTTTTCCCTGGAACCTGCCGAGCTAGCTCTTTGCTAAGAGCCTTTGCACTTGCTGTGCCCTGTGGTTTCAGGCCTCTGCGACGGCTGTGGCTGTTTCCATCTTGTTGTGCAGGGCACAGTTCAGGTGTTGCCTTCTCAAAGAGGTTACCCGACATCTCCATTCTCTTTGACTTCCTTCACGGCATTTATCGCTCCCTGCGGTTTGCTTATTCTTTATATTCTGTCTCCACCGGAAATCAGTTCTTCGAGAATGGGGACCCTTGTCTTTTGTGCAGCAGGGTGGGTGTTCAGGGAGTTGGCTGAGTGAAAGTTCATATTCCTGCTTGAAATCATTCTGTAGATTCCGTAGGGTAAGAATCCCAATTTTCAGACTTTTTATAAGATAGCACTTTAATTCTCTTTTTGTTGTTTTTGTTGTTGTTTTTGAGACAGGGTCTTGCTACGTAGTTCAGAGTGGCCTCTAACTCAGAGCAATCCTCCCGTCAGCTTCCTGAGTGCTGGAATTACAAGTGTGCGTCGCTACACCTGACTTTAATTCTCTTACTTCACTAACTCTCTATTTTTGTGCTGCTGGCAATCAAAATCAGGGCCTTGGCGTGGTAGGCCAGCACTTTAGTACTGAGCTCCGTCCTTTGTCCTTCCTGGATATTTGGGCTAGAGTACCCCCTTTCTACATGAGACTTACAGAATTAAGCCCTGGAGAAACTGGTCCCCTGAATTTACATTTTCGGCACACCCCTCAGGTGATCTTAATGCACATTAATGGTTTAAGACTGCCTCAGTATTTTAATGGCTTTATCCCCCCTTGGGAGATTGCTGCTTGCTTTATAGTGGTAATGGTAGCTACTATTTTTCTAACACCATGTGTGTCAGATACTATGCTAAAAATTACTCTTAGGTAGTTCTCACTTAACTGCAGAGCAGCCTAGTGGCAGGTACGTATACTTGCCCTGCACAAGTGAAGAAGCAGGGCCTGGTTGTCCAGCACTCTGGGAGGTGGAAGCACAAGGATTGCAAGTTCAGGCTCAGGCTGGGCAACTTAATGCCTTCGCAAGACTCTCTCAAAAGATTTAAAATAAAAGGGCTGGGGATGTAGCTTAGTGCAAAGACCCTTTGTTCAATCCCCACTACTAGTTTTAAAAAAAGCTACTGATAACATAGTAAGTGACACAAACTTAAATTTCAACCCGTGTGTTATTTTCGTCTCCGTATACTGCTTCAGAACTACCATCAGAACTGTACACAGTACTTAGGGTATGAATGTGGGTATTGTATCTCATTTGTACCAAATATGAATTTTTTTTGTGTGCGTGTGCTAAGCATCAAACCCATCTGTGTATGCTAGGCAAGTACTATACCACTGAATAACATTCCTAGCCCATCTGAAATGGAAATGTATAATTTTTTCTGTCTTTATTTATTTGTTTTTTTGAGACAGTCTCACTCTGTAGCCCAGGCTGGCCTTGAACTTGTGGCAGTCCTCCTGCCTCAGCCTCTTGAGTGCTGGGATTACAGGCATGTGCCACCATGCCTGGCTATATTTTTAATAAGCTGATTCACTTGAAGTTTTTCAGTTCGTGTTAGACATGCATGTAATTTCTAGTTGTTAGGACAAATAATGTTGTGATGAATCATGACTTCAGGTAGTCTGTGGTCTAAAGAATTACATATAATATGGCAGGTAGACAAATTGTAAAATAAGCCATATTAAAGTTTTTCTGTTGTTGTTGTTACTAGGGATTGGACCCAGGGCCTTTGTACTGAGCTACATTCCCAGCCCTTTTTTTTTTTGTTTGTTATTTTGAGATAGTGTTACTGGGTTTTGGAGTGTTGTAGGCTTTTTCCAGAGATCCTTCCCAGGTTCTTGTCTTTTTTTTTTTTTTTGGTTTTTCTCCGGTACCGGGAACTGAACTCACGACCTTGAGCTTGCCAGGCAGGCGCTTTGCCGCTGAGCTAAATCCCCAGCCCCCCAGGTTCTTGTCTTGAACAAATAATTGGACGAGACCCACACACAAGGTAGCAAGGCTTTATATTTATTAAAGGAAAAGAGGTACTCTCTGCAGAGTGAGAGCAGGCCACCGAGAAAGCTCACAGTGGCGATAAGGTTAATGGGGTGTCTTTTGTATCCACATTCTTCATCAGGCTGACGCCGTTGTATCCAAAACCTGCTTGACTTTCCACCAGATTTTTTAATTTGGCTTTTGAGTGGGAAGTATTTGAAAATTTTAATATGACTTATGTATTGCTTTAAAATAATCAACTCTAACTAGGTATGGTGGTGCATGCCTGTAATATCAGCACTCAGAAGGCTGAGGCAGAAGGATTGTTAAGGTTCAAGGCTAGCCTGGGGTACACAGTGGGTTCAGGCCTGTCTAAACCAGCGTAGGATGACCTTATCTTAAAAAAAAAATCCTTTGGGAAACTGTATTTCTTTTTCTTTTTTTAATTTTTCTTTTTTTTTTATTTTTGGTTTTTTTCCTATACCAGGAATCGAGCTCACGACCTTGCGCTTGCCAGGCAGGCACTGTGCCGCTGAGCTAAATCCCCAGCCCCGAAATATGCTTGTACTATAGTCTTTTTTTTTTTTTTTTTTTGTGGTACCAGGGATCAAACTCATGACCTTGCACTTGCCAGGCAGGCGCTTATGCCATTGAGCTATATCCCCAGCCCCCGGGAAACTATTTTCTAAAACTTCATTTTTAGGGGCATAGTAGGGCTTATATGTATTTGATAGCATCTTAAACTCTAGTGCTTTTTATTTTGGAGAAAGTTTCCTTGTTGCTTATTTTCATATTGAATTCTCATTTCTCCTTTTTCTGTAAGTTTAGATCAGAGCACAGATGTGAGTCAGTTTTGTGAAAGTACACAAGGAGGCTGGTTTATGCTTGCCTGCGCTTACTGACCAGTATTACAAGTGTAGAAATCCCAGAGTTTAACACCTAATAAAGGTGCTTTGAATATAGTGAGGCTTTGAGGAAGCCTTCGTATGGTATGCACACCAGAGCAAGAGGTCAGTGCTCTGGCTGCTGGTGTGTTTTGTCTTAACACAGGTTATTTATTCTTTACACAGTGTATACAGTCTGTCAGTGTTGGGGACCCCCACCCCTCCAGACACTGACATCCTAGGTGCTCAAGTCTCCTAGATACAAAAGGGCACAATACTGTATTTGTTGTTTTTTTTTTTTTTTTTTAATTTTAAAGAATAAAAGAAGGATAACATAATAATAGGGGGGACTTAGCAAATTACAGACAAAATGGTAGGAAATTATCAATGGTTATCATTTTACATATTATTGTCTACAAAATAGTTTCTCAGGAAAACAAATAGACAAATAATAGTGAGTTACAGACAAAAGAGGTAGGAGATTATCAAGAGTTGTTGTACTATACTTTGGTATCTTCAAAGTGGCTTCTAAAGAAAATAAATAGAGCTATACATGAGTGACCTATTGAAAAATCATTAACTCTTCTCAATGGACAATACTGTATTTGGATATGACCTAAGTCCACCCTTACCATGCCCCCATGCAAACAAATGCTCTACCACTGAACTGTACCACCAGCCAGTCTCAGATATTTCATTTTATTTATTTATTTTTTTTTTGAGACAGGGTCTTACTGGTGAAGCTAATCTTGAACTCCACCAACTCTGGTATATTTTAAGTCATCTCTAGATTGTTTTTTGCAGTACTGGGGATAGAAGCCAGGGCTTCACACATGCTAAGCATGTGCTCTACCATTGATGTATACACTCAGCCCTTGATGATCTGTAATTAATACCTCGTCATGGCCGGGCATGGTGGTGCACATCTGTGATCCCAGCACGTAGGAGGCAAAGGCAGGAGGATGGTTTGCAAGTTCCAGACCATCCTGGGCTAAAAGTGAGCTCAAGGTCAGCCTGAACTGCATAGCGAGATCTTATTTCAAAAAGACAAAACAAGCAAACAAAACCTAATCATATATAAATATCATGTAAGCAGTTTTATAGTTTATTATTTAGGGAATAATGAAAAGAAAAAGTCTGGACAGGTATGGGGCACATGACTGTAATTCCAGCACTTGGGAGGCTGAGGTAGGAGGATCGTTACAGGTTCGAGACCAGCCTGGGCTACAAAGGGAGCTCAAGACCAGTCTGAACTACATAGTGAGACTCTACCTTAAAAAGACAAAAAAGAAAAGAAAAGAAAAAGTCTATACAAGTTCAGGACAGACTTATATTTTCGTCTCAGGATTTTGTGCTTTTTGAAACAAGGTCTTGCTTTGTAGACCTTTGAAACAAGGTCTTGCTTTTGCAGGCTGGTCTTCAGCTCATTCTGTAGCCCAGACTGGCCTTGAACTTGCAGCAGTCTTCCTGCCTCAGCCTCCCAAGTGCTGGGACTACAGGCGTGGGCCACTATGCGTGGCTCTCCAAGTACTTTCAATCTGCTGTTTGCTGTGCAGAGGATGGTCCCACAGATGGGGAGTATCTGCTGTGTATACTTTGTTGAGCTTTCACATGTAGCAAAGATAATGTAGAAGAAACTGACTTGCTTGAAATTTTGAACAAGCTTTTTTCTCACCTGTGATGCTTATTCAAGTTGTATTTATTACTAACATTGCTTTCTTTATCATAGTGGTTCTGAACGTTTTTCCTGCTAGCATGAGTGACACTCCTGTGCTCTGTGCACATGTTATCTTGGCTGTAAGTGCATGACAGAGGCTGTGCATTGCATGAATTTTGAGAGCAGCGGCCTGACTGTTGCTTTTGGCTCAGAAAAATGTTGTAATCAAGCGTGGAGATGGATACTGAAAAAAAGTCTTGATTCTTCTCTGATTCATGTGAATGCTGTAGTCAGGCACGGATCAGTGACCTGGTTTTCACTATCCCTCGCAGCTTCAGAGCCCACCTGTATTCTGTAATGTAGCTATTTTTTTTTAAAATGGCTTTCTTAACATTTATGGGGAATTTACATCCACTGTGATTTGGGAATCACCAGGTATGGATTTTCTGTATCTTCTGTCAAATTTTTGTTTTTTGAAAACAAACTTAAGAAAAAAGCCCTTTTTCCTGAAGTTAATATTGCTTTTGGAATGTGACTAACATATGCCCTCCTTTTGTGGTGCTGAGGATTAAGCCCATGCCCTGTGCATGCCTCTAGCCTGATAATACTCTAAA